CCCGCCGCCTCCCCGCTGCCTCCCCGCCCCGCCCAGCCCCGGGCTGTGTTACCGGCCTCCCAGGGCTACCGCCAGGACTCATTCATTAGTGGTTATAAAGGGCCCTGCAGGTCTTGGGTAGCAGTAACCGTAGAAGCGCAGGCAATTAGGGCCGGTTTTCTTTAGTACTCCCGGAGAGCACCTGTAGCTTGAATTTCGCCCCTTCTCTCAGTCCCTGGGCAGCCGGGCCCCCCGGGCTGCCAGCGGCTGTGGGCGTCCCGTTCCCGCTCGGCACCGTGAAACATCATTTATGTACCTCAGCGGACAGGCTGAGATGGGAGGCAGCGCTGCGAGGCGTACGGACGGTGCTGGTAGCTCCGACAGCAGTGACATTTAGAGGCAGGGGGGGAATCAGCATCGAGAGAAGGCAGCTCAACACGGCTGAGAGGGCACCAGAATCCTGATGCCATATGACGTGTTTTTAATGCTTTGTCTCTTGCGGACAGCTGTTTATCCACGTTTTTCACAATCTAAAAAACCAGGATTCTGCTCCTAATTTTCTTCCCATGAGGTTACAATCCAGAGCTCGATGTCACTTGAGCAGGACAGTCAGACCTCTGATGAAACATTAGCCCAGCAACAGATATAGGATTACTTTCTGCAGAAACAAGCATCACCACGCTACAGGGTAATGAAGCTGTTACCTGCAACCATTTCAGGATGTTGTCGCAGAAAAATATGTTTTTGGACTTGATTTTTAGCTGTATGCATTAAATTCTGGAGTGTCAAAATACAGTAAGATGTGATTTTTTAAATGCCTGCTAATCATCTGGATTTCAGAGCACGATTAAAGATGGGAAACGCGCCTGACTGCTGCAGAGGGGCCTTGGAGATGATTCCTTGAAACCACTAGGATGCCTGGCTGTTTTAAAAAGACTTTATGTGCCTTGGCTTCTCTAATAAGTTTTGTGTCTTTTATCTTGATTGTTGTTGCAATGGGGACCCCAAAGTGGATGACTGGAAAGATCCTTTGCAAAACAGGAGCTGACTTAGTCAATGCCACAGACCCAGAGCTGGTCAAGTTCATGGGAGAAATTTACTATGGACTCTTCCAGGGCGGCAAAATACGCCAGTGTGGGTTGGGTGGGCGACGTTCCAAATTCACAAGTAAGTACAATTTTGGTTGAATTTTTGTCTAATGTCTAGTTCATTTTTAAGAGCACTCTATTCTTTTTGTCCACAGAGCTTAACAGAATGCAAATAACTATTATTTAATTTATATTTGTGACTGACTCGTGGTCTTTATGGTTTGGGATCTGAGTGTGAATGTAAAATCCCTGTAATTTCAGGATAGCTTTTTTCCTTCCCTTGTGTTCTGTAATCCTGGAATCAAGATGGGGGGGGTTGAACAACCCTAGGGCCTGATTGAGGGTTTCCTTTTAGTCCTCCTATGCTAAGTGTTGCTCTGCAGTCTCTCTGTGCTTCTGTCCTTGCCTTCTTTGTTGAACTTTTTTTTTTTTTTTTTTTCCCTTTAAGAAGGAGAAATTTATTTAGCTGGCCACATTTCCGTATTTCTCTAGCTGTTCTAACACAGATGTCTACCACAGCAGATACTCCTAGCTTTATTAACATGTTGAAAAAAAATTACCTTCTTTCATGGTAACTTTGGAGAGAATAAATTGCTGAACTCTTAAAGTTGTAGAAACTCTTGTAATGTCTTCAACTTAGAAGATTTTATTGAGATCTCAAAAGCATTCAGATTTGATCTGTACTTTGGATGATTTCCAGTTTTCACACATGCTGTGCTGTAGTGAAAATTATCTTTTGCATTGAAGAATTTTAGCTCAGCATGCAGATTCACTGCAACCTCACCCTCTCCCTGGCGCGCAGCAGTGCTGTCCTGCCCCATCCTTTGCAGTGGCTCTGGAAGTTACTGTGGTGAGGTAGTTCAGGAAGTTAAGCTGGCCAAAAAATTAATCTAAAAAAAAAAGTAAGTTAATAGTTTCTTATAGGATCATGGCTGACTACAAAACTGCACAAGCCTCACAAGCCCCTTTGAGTTTTTTCAAAGGGAGGCAGGATTGTGGGAATACAGAGGGAATGGAGAAGAGAATAAGAGCAACTCAACTTAGACCAGCATGTCCAGCTGTTAAGCTGTGATGAATCCAAACTACTCACTTTTACAATAACCAAATTTCTCAAGTTCTGATTGCAGCTGCAACGTCATCATGACCTGGATGTAGCAGTCATGTTCAAATACTTTGTCTAGGGAGTTTGAGTGGCTGGCAGACAAGCCATCCAGCCAAAGCTCTCCCAGCTCTGCTCTGTTTCTCAGGGCATTCAGAAATACTGTCCCAGTTCTTTCATCCTATCCTCCAGAAAGAATGAGAAAAAAGTAGCCAATCCTCTGGAAATCTCTGTACAGCTTTCTGGACTCTTTATTAAACTTTCTGATTAATTACTGCTTAACCTAACATTCCACCATCACTTTGGACTGCATTGATACCTATTTGGAGGACGTGATCCTCTCCTCCTTAGGCTAACAGCTCTCACTGAAGATAGTCAAGAAATGCTACCTAATGGTCAGTCTGAACCTCCTCTGGCACAGCTTTGAACCATTCCAGTGCATCCTAGCATTGAATAACATTCTCATTTACTTTCCTCCTTTCTTCTTGTTGTTGGGGTCTCTCCTGTAGCTTCCATATATAACAGACCCAACTACAACCCCAGAATGAGCTACTGAAAAGCTACTTCTGAGCTACTTTTTATGTGGAATTTGTACAGTATGAAGGTTTCTGCATAATCTACTAGAATTCTGTCGTGTCATGATGACCAAACTGTAGGTCTGATATTCACTGTGACTTCTACCTTTTATTGCTGCCTTCTTATGTGACTTGTTTGCATTTTTTTTTCATTTATGCAGCAAAGGAAGCCATCTCTTTATTTGTTTATAATATAATGTACCTTCTTTTTAATAACTTTTTATTAATTAGGCAGGTAGTTCTTCAACGCATATTTGAGTTTGCAGTGCTAGACTATCTTGAGGGCTCTTCTCAATCAGCTTGTATTTTCGGGTTCTTCTTGATCAGCTTCTCTCATTCCTGTCAGTCAGCATCATCTACAATTCCCTGCTCACATTTCTTCCAATTCTGTTACCACAGGGCTGCAGGATAAACTGAATACTCAGGTGCTCCACACTTGGCTGCTGCTGGCCAGTTTGGCCCTCCAGGAGAGTAATTCTGGCTGTGAAGACAAAACCAAAACAGTTCTTGTTCTGTAAAGACAGGCAAGCACAGGCTGCTGAGGAAGAGCTCATGCCTCTAGCAAAGTGTGAGCACTTCACCTAAAGCCCACCCAACTGCAATTCTTTACAAGCTTCTGACAGATGTAACTAAAACTCTGCTAGGTACCCAGAAGAGCATGAAGGAGAATAAATACTAGATGAGAAACTGAGAATGGAGGCTGAAAGTGGAAACCTGTGGGATTAGCATGAAATCAGAGTAGATCTCACTGGAACTTGTATTAAAGAGAGGAAGAGAGAAAGAAGAATAACATGAGAAAGGAGTGATACTATTTTAGGCAGCAAGGGGCTGGACGAGGAAACTGGGATCATCAGACTTCAAAAGAGCATGAGACAGGAATGGGAAGCTCAAAAAAAAAGAAGTTTGGGATAGAGAGCAGAGGTGAAAAAGAGACAGAAAAGAATGCAGCAGATGATACAGCAGTAGAGATAAAGACATTAACACAACTAGTTAAAACAAAACTTAAACCTGAACCCTTATTCACAGAATCTGTGGGTTGTTCCTGTAAGTAAAACATCCCTGGTCTGTCTGATGTAGTGACAAATAAAGCATCATGAACAAAGTTGTGTGTAACTACTTGAATTGCTCAGCTCTGTAAAAAATAGTCTTGTTTAAGTATAATTTAATATTGTAGCACCAGCACAGTATGATTTACTGTTTACTGTTGTCAAGAGAAACTACATACTGAATAGATTATTTTTTTTTCTTGCCAGTTTTCCCACACATGGTGAAAAAGCTGAATACAGGCCTGCACGTGATGATTATAATGTTCCTCTGTGTGGCCATTTTCTTTTCTCTGGTCAGCTTTGGATTCTGCATTCTTAACGCAATAAAAGTTCCTTACCGAGCTATTAAAGGTCCAGCAGGAATATGCCTTTGGAACTTCCTTGCAGGTAAAATAATTTACCAGTTTTTTTTCATTAGTCATATTCATACAAAATGCTAAAAGATCCTTCTCTTAGCTTACTAAGTATCTCCTCAACTTAAATACTTATGAATAAAATGAAGTTAGCAGTGAATCCTCATCTATCAAAACAGAAGTGGCAGGTGGCATTTCAACTTACTGTGTCTAATCAGCTTTTTACAGGAGCTGTGAATGCCAGTTTTTAGGCTCAATGTCACTGATAAAAGGACTTTATCACAAATGCTGGTTTGGTGTTTGGCCATTCAATAAGGACTAGGCATTTTGAAGATGTTTAAGCCATGCCTAAGACTATCACTGTT